TTTTTATAAGCGATGTAGTTCGAGGCCTGTCTTCATTTGACATACCTAATACCTTTAGATTTGGAAGTAATTTGAAATGAATTGAATAGACTCATTGGGAGTGCGCTATAAATGATAGACAGTGAATGTGTTTGAAAATCTCATTTCAGATTTGCGAATGTAATTATAGGAAAATTTCAAATGAAGTAGAAACTCAAAAGAGGAACGCTTGACGTGGAATGACTGTAAGAGAATTCTCCTTTGCAATCTTCTCCAAGACCACTCTTCTGTAGTTGGATCGAACAAGAATAGCACGGGGAGAAAAAAAAAAACAGAGCTTGCATATTGCCAAGTAAATACTAAAGACCACGGTTTTAAGAGATATCACATTCTGACAGAGAATGAGAAAAAAACTTTGATGGGTGGTGCTTTATATAACGCATTTTTCGCAAGTAAATCACTCTTTGTAGTGACATCACAATACTCAAAGCGTGAGTGACAAGCCCATGCTTGACCAGATTAGGACGCCTGGTCAGCAATCGGACCATATAGTGCCATATAAGGCCAAACCGAGCCTAAACGGGCCTAATAAAATATCTGACATAAAAAATGAGCCATTTATTGTCGTGAATTCGTTGAGCAAACAGTTAAATATGGGTCGCATGCATAGGAACTGTCCTGTGTTTGGCTGTGGTAGTACAAATCAGGCTGTGGGAATGGCGAGATTGTGGTAGTACGGAAAACGTCTAAATCGCAGGAAACGAAGAAAGAATATACTAAGTGGTTAACATTTTAATTTGTGTGCATGAACAAAAAACCCGCCTCTGTTGCTGCCAGCGAGTAATAAACGAGAAAAGTTAAAAGTATTGTTGGTATTGTCGATGTCACTGTAGAACGACACAATGTCAATGAGTTAAATTAAGGCAAGGGCAAGCTTGCCAAGGGCTTTGCCAGACAAAAACGTAAACTCTTCAACCAGCGGAAGGTTTACAAAGTCAAAACGATCGAAGCTAGAAAACAGTGTCAACAGTGTAAAAGCTGAACAATATGTTAACAACTGTTTTATATTTATGTAAAATCATTTTACTGAGATGAATAAATTGTTTAACTCGTTAATCCATGTGTTAATTTATGTATGCAGCCAAGCGTCGATGATTACAAGACTTGTTTCCATGTTTTGTCTTAAATATGTATACATTTTCGTATTTTTTAAACCTTTAATTTCCTTCTTTTGTAATCTCTAACTTGTTAGAATTTTAAAAGAGTGTTCGGCTCTTTATTTAAGTAAATTGCATTACTGCGCATGCGTATAAAATCATTATCTACGTCCCACAAGCAAAACAACCAAGTTTGGTGCATATAAGCCGAGAAATGATTGTGAAAATTTTGTATTTTTGTTGTGAAAATTTTGTATTTTTGTTGTGAAAATTTTGTATTTTTGTTGTGAAATAGGATTGCAAATATCTAACAGAAGAGTTTTCTAAGGCTGTGAAATCAATTCTAGAGGTGAGTTTGAGACTGTGCTTGAAAGTGTAAACATTTTGATAAGGATAAACATCTTGTAAAATGGATGGTCCGAATCTTAACCAACTGCAAACGGGAAGTTTTCTTCACGGGTTGGAAATGTTATGACATTTTTTATTAATTAAATTAATTAATGTACTTCTTACAGGAGAAACGTCGTAGTTTGGTGAATACATACTGAGAAATGATTGCGACATTTTTTTAACTCTGTCCCGAAATAGGTCTACGAATATAAAGTGTCGGGTTATAAAACAGACGTTTTACTATAAAGCTGTAAAGTAAAGAGGTGAGTTCTATTCGAAACTGTGCTTGATAAGAATAAACATCTTGCAATTAAAACGGATGCTCTGAGTCTTAACCAACTGCAGACGGGGAGTTTTCTTCACGGGTTGGAAAGGTAATGACAATTTTTGAATAATTCTGATGTTTTAAAGCCTAGTGTGACCTTAAATGATTTATATACATTACCTCGCATGCGTATTACATCGTTCCTACGTCCCACAAGCATTACAGCATAGTTTGGTGCATATATTGAAAAATGAATTGAAAAATACTGCATTTAATTTAGACTCAGTTCAAAATATTGCAGTTCAAAGACTTGTGTTTATCTTTCTAGAATGGCATACGTCTGTAGTAAATGTACGAAGAGTTTTACCCAAATGACGAACTTAACTCGTCATACGAAAACAACGCATCTGGGCAAGACATTCAAGTGTCAGGAGTGCGATAAGTCGTTTACAAGAAAGGATGCCCTCGTTCGTCATGGTCAGCAACATCGGCAGTTGGTCACCCACACATGCGATAAGTGCCTGAAAGAGTTCTATCGTCATGATAAGTTGGTCGAACATAGAGTGGTATGTGACGGAAACACCTTGAAGAGGAAATCTGATTGTCCAGTTGACACCACTTCTAAGGCTAAACGGAGTAAAGTTGATGAGACAGCTCACTCCTCCGATCAAATTAGACATGAAGATGACGATCCGTGTAATCTTACATCTGCTTTCGAGGAAAACCTGAAGAAAATTGAACTGAAACCGCGAAAGGATCAAAAGCATGATATGTCCCAATTTCTTCGTGGTAAATCCAAACCGATTCTTAGTCATCTACTGAAAGAGCTGGAAATGAAGAAAGGATTGAAATGGTTCATCAGTGTGAAAGCGAGGTTTGTCAAACCTAAAGTGGACGGTGAAGATCTATTCAGTGAACCGCATTTCCGCAGTCTGTGTACTACAACGGTTAATGTTCACGATGTGGAGAAACAACTGCAAGAAGCTTGCAGTAAAATTATCGATTCCTTGGCGATATATCAGAAAGAAGGAAGCGGTTGGGTGTTAGATGAAATACTTCATTTAGACCTGAACATGGCCAAATATACTCCGCTCAAAGCTTCCAGTTATATTCCTCTACCGAAAAAGTTGAAGACTAAAAAGGCAATCGTCAATATCAAGAATACCGACAACAAGTGTTTTATGTGGTCTGTCCTTGCTGCTTTACATCCTATTGAATATAATAGAAAACCTGAACGGTTACACCATTACAAGGAATTTGAAAATGTACTTGACTTCAGCGGCATTGAGTTTCCTGTCACAATTGATAAGATTGGAAAATTTGAAAGTCAAAATAACATTTCAGTGAACGTGTTTGGTTTCGAAGATGTGCTCTTTCCCATTCGTATCACAAAGGAACATTTTGACACCCACGTGAATCTATTGCTATACTACCAGGGAACGACCAGACATTACTGTCTCATTAAAGACCTGAACAAACTGCTCTACGATCAAAATGGTCATAAATGTAGAATGTATTACTGTCGTTACTGTCTTCATGGATTTATCCGAGACGACCTTCTACAAGATCATGAGCCGCATTGTTGTCAACATGGAGCCCAGCGTATTGAATTACCAAGTGAAGACAATGCTTCCCTCTATTTTAAAGATTATCACAAACAACTTAAGGTACCATTTGTTATTTATGCTGATTTTGAAAGTATCACAGCCAAGATCGACTCAGTTTCCCCTAACCCAACTAAATCATCTACTGAGAAATATCAGCACCACCAACCTTGTGGATTTTCGTATGTTGTTGTATCAGAGGCAGAAAAATATAACAAACCTCCTGTCGTTTACCGTGGGGACGACGCTGTGGATAAGTTTCTCGAGTGTTTAGAGATAGAACAGCAATACATCGAAGAGAAACTTAGTTTCATCGAGCCGATGCGTATCGAGAACGAGGAAGAACAGATGTTTCAAAACGCCATTAACTGTCATATCTGTGGTTTTGAATTGGGCGCCGACCGAGTTCGCGATCATTGTCACCTCACAGGAAAGTTTCGTGGAGCCGCACACAACGAATGTAACTTAAACTATAGTTTTACTGGACGCATTCCTGTCATTCTTCACAATCTTCGTGGTTATGACTCCCACCTGATTATGCAAGGTCTTGGAAAGCTAAAGAATAAGGAGATCAACTGCATCCCCAACAATACTGAAAAGTATATTTCCTTTTCCATCGACAAATTAGATTTTATTGACTCACTTCAGTTTATGAACGCTTCCCTCCAACGGTTGGTGTCTAATCTTTCGAAGAATGGTGCAGATATGTTTCCAATTCTCCAGAAACATACTGAAGCGGATAAAGTATCACTGCTTTTGCGGAAAGGCGTATACCCATATGACTACATGGATAGTGTGGAAAAGTTTGATAAAGAAACTCTGCCTCCTCAAGAATGCTTCTACAGTGTACTGAATGATGAGCACATTTCCGATGCTGACTACGATCACGCTACTCGCGTCTTTGAGGCTTTTAGCTGCCAAAGTATGGGAGACTATCATGATTTGTACTTAAAATCTGATGTTCTGCTCCTTGCTGATGTATTTGAAAACTTCCGAAACGTCTGCTTGAAAGCATACAATCTAGATCCTTGTCACTTTTACACAAGTCCTGGACTGGCGTGGCAAGCTTGTCTAAAAATGACAGAGGTGGAACTACAATTATTGACTGATCCAGATATGTATTTATTTATCGAAGAAGGGCTTCGTGGTGGAATATCCATGATAAGTAACCGTTTCAGTAAAGCGAACAATCCATACGTCCCCGACTATGACCCTCATCAAGACTCATCTTACGTGACGTATCTCGACGCTAATAATCTTTATGGCTGGGCTATGTCACAACCCCTACCAACTGGTGAATTCGACTGGTTAAATGAAAAAGAGATCTCCAACCTTGACATCACACAAATTACCGATGACTCTGAAGAAGGTTATATTCTCGAAGTCGATTTAAAGTATCCAAAGGAGTTACACGATCTACATAATGACTATCCGTTGGCTCCTGAGAAGATGAAGATTTGTCCTGAAATGCTATCACCCTATGGCAAACAGCTCTCAGAAGATTTAAAGCTCGGAAGTGTTGCAGTCCCCAAACTAGTACCCAACCTCAATGATAAGACCAAATATATTGTACACTGCCGTAATCTGAAGTTATATCTCGGGCTGGGAATGGAGCTGACAGTAATTCACAGAGTCTTGGCGTTTCAACAAAGTCCATGGCTCAAAGCGTATATAGATTTCAACACAGAAAGAAGAAAGCACGCCACGAATGATTTTGAGAAAGATTTCTACAAGCTGATGAATAATTCGGTGTTTGGAAAGACTATGGAGAATCTGAGAAAGCGAGTCAATGTCAAGTTGGTCAATGACAAGACAAAGCTGAAAAAATTAACTGCCCGTCCATCGTTTGACTCTTTCCGTATTTTCTCTGAGGATCTCGCTGCTGTGAATATGAAGAAGACAAAGCTATACTTAAATCGCCCAATTTATGTGGGATTTACAATCCTTGATCTCTCAAAGGTGTTGATGTACCAGTTTCATTACGAACATATGAAACAGAAGTATGGTGCCAACGCTAAGCTGCTTTTCACGGATACGGACAGTCTATGTTATGAAGTGAAGACCCGTGACATCTACCAAGACATGCTGGAAGACGCAGAGCTATTCGATACATCCGAATACGCACAAGACCATCTTTTGTATAGTACACGAAACAAGAAAGTTCTCGGTAAGATGAAAGATGAGACGCATGGAATTCCAATTCAAGAATTTGTTGGTTTGAGGCCAAAGATGTACTCCATCCTATACACCGAGAACAACAAGCTGGTGGAGAAGAAGACAGCTAAGGGGATAAAGAAGTCGGTAACAAAGAAGAAAATAAGACATGATAATTATAAAACCTGTTTATTCGATAAGAAGCAGACAAAAACCTCCATGAATCAGATTTGCAGTTATGGTCATGAGATCTACTCCATCAAATTAAACAAGATCGCTTTAAGTCCGTATGATGATAAACGTTTCATTTTAGAAAACGGTGTTAATACATTAGCTCATGGGCATTATAAAATTAGCAAATAAATTGTGTAACAAATCCCACACTTATGGTGGAAAAACAAGGCTGGTGTTTAAAGACATATTAATATGATGTAATAAAACCTTGTAATGTGATGAATTCAAATACACTTTTTTATACTCAATTTCTATTGTCCTTTGTATTTTCTTGCGGAAATTTTGAAGAAACTGAGCTCTGATGTAAAGGGGACGTACTTAGACAATTGGACCATCAGGCCATAAAAAAGGCCCTCCGGGCCATTTTTAACAACTGTTATTATATTTAAAAAAAACCGTTATGGTTTATTCTCTCCCCTCAACATTATGGTTAAACCTGAGTTGTTCTGTTTTCAACTACTATTCCAATAATTATGAAATACCACATTAATGAATAAAATACTGAACATATAGGAATAATGCCATAAGCGCGAGAACCAAAGAAATTATCACGTTTCGGGACACCCGGGACAAAAAAAAAAGTCCTGCAGGGACACATAGTAAAATAGTAGACGGTTAATTTAAAGATTTGTTAACGCGGAATGTTATTACGGTCAATGACGCTTTAATGACATTATAAGCGCGTGTAATTGATATGAAATTATACTGTGATGACATCATGGGTGGATCCACCCGATCCACCCGTCGTAGAACCCCCACTTTGTATACTACTCCGTTACTTCGTAAAATAACTTCGTTCCAAGTAAAAAGTACATTCACGTCGTCACCACTGTTTCCCAGCAATAGTAAGACTTGTGGACAGCAGATACAGTCCTAGTTTTTAAACAGTGGAGACGCTTAGCGCGAAAAATAACTAATCGTTAAAACGTTCTAGATATTGCTAGTCCCCTAGGGAAGTTAAAAAGAACTTTTAAAATTTCTTTTAAAATTTTTTCAAATTTTTCAGGATCTGAGTGCGTGTACGAATGCAGATGGCTTATTGTGCCTCACCTTTGTATTATGTTTTTGTTTTATTTTTTTAGAAATTATGTTGTTTTCTGCATTTCTGGTGTTGATTGTTTTGGGAAGTGTCTGTGGGGATTTTCGTGTCCCCATTTTAACGCAACCTTTGTCAACCTTCAATTTACCGTTTTTGCAAGGTTTCATGGGACCAAACCAGGCCTATTACGATAGAGTGACTACTTATAACGTTTGGAAAACACCAAGGGCCGTCGGAGCCGACATCAGTGCATTCGATGTTATAGTGGGGTCTACCGCCCAAACCATGGTTTTCGACGCTGATGTTCTTCTCCAGCGGGGTCAACTTTCAGTAGCCATTCTTGAACAATCACCGCTATATAATTGCCCAGTTCAATGCTATACCGTGAAGGATGCTGATATCGAAAATGCTACTAGTCTTACTTCAATTATTTTGGCAAACGTTGCAACATTAGAAATTGGAGAAATTCACCAGTTTGCGGTTACAACAATGGAGAAGAAATTTTGTTTCAACATGACAGTCTTGGAACAGAAACTGAATCTTTCGTCGTTACGTGTGATTAATGATGAATGGACGTTGTTTGTACCTGATATCGTCGCCGCAGCCATAAAGTTTCGTGCTGATATGCTGAGTGTAACAGTAGACGAACTTGCCGAACTGTTGAACATAAATACTACTACATTGTATGGCTATAATTTGAATCAAATTGAAAGCATCTTCTTCCCGGCATTTGATGACTTGGTTGTACGTAAGAACCGCTTCGAAACTCAACTGTTCTCAGTTGTTATTTCTGGACAGGCCAGTTCTCAATGGCAATCTCGAACTATGGTGTACTATGCTAATCAGATCAGCCAGTTTTCAGTTCGTCATCTTGAGATATTATACAGATGGGCTTCAGCACAGCTTTTTGCCATAGAAAATATCCAGTTGTCCAGTTACTTCTCTCAGTGCACCTCTCTTTCGACGACAGGTCCTGCCTTTGATCTATCTCAGGAAATTTTTGGTTATCAAACTACTCTTCCCTCCTGTAATGTCGCTTTTGTCTTGTCTCGATCTTTGAGTGAAGATGAGGTCAGATTCAATCTTACTACAATCACAAACAGAAATATTTTGACCATCATTAGAAATGCAAGTAGTATCAGCAGCTGGTTTAATTTCTATCAACTGTTGTTTGCCATTTCGGAAGGTATATGGATAGAAACTCCACTTATTACCCAGGTTCAAGCTCGTCAAGGTCTCACCAATGCTCAAATCATCACTTACTCAGTTCCGCAAATCGCATACGCAATCAGAACCTTGAATGGATCTGGTAATTTAAATTTGATTATGAGGGATAATTATCAGCAATATCTTTCCCTCCTTCTACAAAAGTATGGCTTCTCTAAATCTACTCTTGGCGCCCTCACTGGACGAACTGTAGCTCAGATTGACAGTTTAACGATCCAAGAAGCTCATAACCTGGTATTCGGGGCGTTATATCTAAGATATAATATCAATGAGTTTCTGAGCAAACTCACTGTAGAAGGCGTTGACAATTTTGTAGCTATTAATCTTCCATCGTTCGAATGGTATAGACTGGTACGAATAGCTATTGAAAGTTCATTTGATCAACTAGCAAGCGCTTTTTCAACTAACCTAACAGCAGGAACTGGTGGTGTTTCAGTTATTACTCTAGCAGACGGTACATCTTCAATAGAAATTAGATCTGGCAGCATATCCAGCAGCTTTCTTATTTCTGCCAGTCGTTTAGCGTCGTCCTTAGGTACCACAGTATCCGAAATATACCAGAGAACCATGCCTACCTACCAAACGTTGTACCAAAGCTCCGCTGTAGATCTCATGAATAGGAAGATCGTTTTGGAAACAGAAAATTTGAATGCTTTGCTGGCCCAACTTGGAATAACATTTGACAGTATTAAGAATACTGAAACGGTTGGTCAAACAATTGAGAATCGTGTTGGTCTCACGGCAGAACAGTTGCGGTGTATGTATGGCTGGTCATCTCAATTTACATCCTTCCTATTCGGCATAACCTGGGGAAATGTTAGCTCATTCCGCCTTTGTAATGATTACATTTCTTGGCCTCTTCATCGGATTGCTGTGGCATTATTGCACTCTTCTCCTACAGTGTGTCGTAAGTAGAAATAAACTATATTAGGCTTTTAATAACAGTATCAAGGTATCATTAATAAGAAAAGAAAACTTATCTTTTTAAACGTTTTTCTGGCATCCCATCATATTTTTAGCAAAATCTCAGTAGTTCGTGCCAGTCGTTAATGCAAACAATAATGATTATACTGAACGTTATTACTGAACAAAGAGAATTAAATTGCACGCTAACTTGAGCTTTCTTGCTTCATGCCATAAATAATTGTGAATACTTTGTTTCTAAAGAATTATGTTCCACTGGCCCTTGTGATGCCAACGCAGATTGCACGGACAGAGTCGGTTCATACATCTGTACCTGTCGTACTGGTTTCACTGGAAATGGAGTCACTTGCACCGGTAAGATGCTAAAGTCAATCTGAAATCTGAATTTAATATTATTTCCAGTCTTCTATATTTATCCTTTTATATTTATTTATACGTGGGGGTCAAGTGTTGTCAGCCGCGTGGAATATAAACCTTTGGTTCAAATTCTGCAGAACCACTCATCAATTTAAATATATTTTAACTCTACTTAATTTTGTGTTCAATACCATTTCTTACCCAGTCCATCCCACACTGCTTTATTCTATCCAACTCATTTTAAGTTTGTTCTTATGTGCATTTCATGTAATTATTCGTTCATTATTTTCTAGATCTTGATGAATGTGTACTCGGGACTCATGGTTGTAGTGGGAATGGTCTCTGTACAAACACTATTGGATCTTACACGTGTCGATGTAACACAGGCTACACTGGAAACGGATTTACCTGCATCGGTAGGCTATTATACTATTTTCTATCTTATCATTTTTATTAAAAGAAGGCATTGTAGTTTAAAATGAGTGTAGGAGCCTAGTGAATAACTTTCAAACATATGTAAACATTTGGCTAGTTTACATGTCGTTATCATGCGCCCCATGTAAAGTTTATTTAAAAGCTCAGTCTAGTATGGCTATGCATGTCGATCGTATCACAACAAACCGTTAGCTAATAAAATTTTCCTTTTTAGTATGTGTGGCTTAAAAGTCATTGGATCTTTTATTTTTTCCACACAGAACAATGGATTAACATACTGTTGTTCTCAATAGACTGTAATCTTTATTGCATTCTTGCCACAATGGCCTCGTTTTCATGTGGATATTTCCTCTTGTTCCGTGGACAATATGGATATAAGGGTATATAGGTTTGAGTTTGGGCTGAAGATCAGTGAGAAACATATTTGGATATAACCTTCATGTGCGCCTGTCATGCTAAAACAGGCAAACATGGAAACGAGGCTTATGGAGCAAAAGTGCAGTAAAGTCTATTGCATTTAATACACAGCACATAATCATCACAATTTTTCCAACATTTAATATGGAAGATCTGTCTACATGTATATTTTACATTACAGGTGTTCAATTTTGCTTGTATCGGATAACAAGCCTATAACTATACTTCTCTCTTCTTAAGATATTGACGAATGTGGCTTGAATATTGACAACTGTGGTCAGAACGCTGCATGTACAAACACACAAGGAAGTTTTGTTTGTACTTGTAACCCTGGTTACACTGGAGATGGCTTGTCTTGTACTGGTAGGTTTTACAAAATACTTATAGTGAAATATCAGACCTTACTCTGAAGAATCAATACAACCACAGCAGCTACACAAGCTCATTCATTATATAAATACTGTACAAGGAGACTTTCGACGTTTCAAGCTAAGACCTTTCGTGGGGAAATTACTAGCGTATGACGTGAAAATCATGAAATTTGACCCCTCACAACAGCTCTGAGCGGCGGACATTACTTTTATTCACCTGCCTGATAGTAACATCGACGAGTAATAAGTACTATTTAAAACATGAGCAGCAGTGTTTTATCAAATATAATGATGATGATGATTGAATCTTAGCCGAAAGCTACAATATTAAAATGTTTATTTTCGGAGTTACCGTTGTTTTATATTTTGTGAAATACACCTCGGGTAACATTGACAGTCTCGGGTCCACAAAATGAACATTTCAGTCTGCACTGCTTGCTACTGATGTTGTGTATAGGATATAATACTTCCAGGGTATGGGCATCTGGAAATCTTGGATCGAGGCCGAAGTCTACCATGACACCATGTAATTCAATACAAATTCGATGTACCATGGCACTAAATTATAGCTATACCAAGTAACAGTAACTCCGAATAACATTTTGATTTTTAATCGATGTTTCGACTAGTTTGTAGTCATCCTATGACATGTAGCTATGATTTTTTATTTATTACACGTCAGCGTCGTTTCAATTATCACTAATTAATGCATCACATACTGTAAATATTGACCAACAATTAGGCCTAACTTCAATAATTTGAGTGACGTTTTATTTTTATTTTAGACATTGACGAGTGTACAGATAATACAGATAATTGCCACACGAATGCTGCTTGCACGAACAATATTGGCTCGTTTAGTTGTGCATGTAATGTGGGCTTTTCTGGAAATGGAGTCATTTGTGTAGGTAAGATATGGAGGTTGATTTAGTCTTATTTTGTTTTTACTTAAACCCGTGAAATATAGTTGTAACTCTGAACAGGCATGTTGATCGAACATTTCATGATCATAAACGATATAGGTATATATTAATCATAATTAGTAAAACTACAATGTGTAGATAGTTTATCAATATCTAGTTAAACTCACACCAAATCAAATAACTACTCAAATGATAGTAAAGTAATAACGACTGACTCGTCCCCAGTCGCTTAATGCGAGCCTCACAATTGAGAGGAACAAACTCAGTTCGTAAGCTTACGTGTAATGTAATTAAACAGAAACTCCAAATGCACGTACTAGTCGTACTAGTGAAATATTGCGGGTATAGAAAGCAGTCTTGCCGTATCACAAGCTCGAGACGATAATTCTTAATTCAGGGTGTATAAAAAAACTGAACAGATTTGAAGTTTCTCTTAATTTCGCAAAACAGCTCGTGGTATCAAGTTTTTGTTATATATAGATCCCTTGAGTTTTCTCATAATGTAGAATAATGAAAAAAATACTCGAACTCAAATTTTGTAAACCATGGAGGTGTTTCTTTTCCAACAAACTAAAAATGGCTTGCGCACGAAATTTAAAAGATTTAATCGTATTTTGAGAATTTGAGTTAACGGATGGAAAATGTGTTGGGTTTTTTATTACTGTACAAAATTTCAGACAATTTGTCCTAAAAAATCAGCCTTTGCATGCTTCATTAATACCTTACCTAATTTGCATATTGCTGCAATATGCTGTTTTGCGAAATTGAGAGCAATTTCAAATCTGTTCAGTTTTTCAACAATATTTAATTCATAAACATGTATGCATGAAATAAACCGTAAACGTGGTTCGGAGCATGGGTTTGCGTGTCTTCATAAACGTATTGGCGTAACCGCATTATCTAAATAACCTAAGGCTGATTATACTAACGTTTACAAATATTTGTCAGTTCGAGACTGTTCTGTGATCAGTTACAGATGGCAGTGTGACGTATTAGAAATAAAATCTTAATATATAGGTTCTGATCTAACACGTCTAATTTCAGTGAAGATAAGAATCTCTCCACAAACATCTGATTTTTGTAACCCTTCAGTGATGCCTAATGGCAACATTACCTTCAGGATTTTATGGTAAACAAGACGCCTGCTCAGGCGTTCACTGAAAATGACGACATACGAGCTACGTTGCAATAGACAAGAATACAAATCGTGAACCGCAGACGCAAAGCGTGAAAGGCTAAAAGCGTGCCGTGATCCTCAGGAGATGTTTTCGTAATGCCCAAATAAACACACAAGTATTACTCACAAATACAAACGTTATCCACGAATGCACATGGTTTAGCTCTGAGCATGCGATGCGCTAACACAGACAACATTGTTTACATTCCGTGAGTCCGTATATTAAACGTATAAAATTCGAAAAACTCAGCGATCCAGATATTGCATTTCCAGAGACGTTGCACGAAAAAACCCCAACCAGTCAACTTCCGAGGAAGTGCAGTTTGAAGGTAAAACATCTTAAGTCGAATTTTAGACCCCTACGATTTAAACAGCGCGTTGTTTTGATGTACGTTCTATGGGACGCGCTAAAAATATAAATATTCTGTAAATACCGAAATAAAAGATGAAAATCTGAAGTAAGACACAAGCTTGAAAATAACACTATAAATAGTGTTTTGGATTCTGATTCCATTAATACTATTACGAAAAAGATATGTCCAAAGGGGCTGAAGTTATGTTCGACGAAATGTAGGGCTAGTTTACATTGTTCATTATATTATGAAATATGATACCATACCTTACTTGTATTAAAATTCGCATCGAAGTTAAAAGTAATGTTATTGTTTGACGCAACAAATCTTCAGTAACACAATAAAATGTATGTTTCTTGTAGTTATCAGTAGCAAGTAAATGTTTTCGCGTTTTGTATAGATGTATTGTCTGAGGGTAAAACGTCTTAAGTCGATCAGTAGCAGGTTTATTAACTTTGGACCCATCACGGATGTCGCGCGATTGACTGTACATTACGGATGCGCGAATGACTATATGTGTATTGCACATGATACAAACACATTGAGTATACAATTCTACTCTGCGCATACAATATTTTGTAGTCAAACTGTCAAAACTTTAACTTGTCCTTGTTTATATTCCATTCTATTGTATAAATTCGCGGGGTACAAATCCCGTACAATATTACAGAGAAACGGTGAAATGCTAAAAGCGTGGCGTGATCCTCAGGAGATGTTTTCGTAATGCCCAATGAAACACAAGTATTACTCACAAATACAAACGTTATCCATAAATGCACATGGCCTCTGATGGATATAGGGACTCAGGAGGTCTGGAACTGGTAATTATGCGCGTGCGTACAAGTGTATGGTCTAATAAAGAAAGATGTACCACAAGCATGGCATGAGTCTGCTACTACGTACATAAATACGGACCTTGTTACTATGAAAACTAAATCAAGCAGTCGAGGAATCGAATGGCATTTGAATCATGGCATTTTGGATTAATCGTTGCACCCTGAGCCTGCGATGCGCTAACGCAAACTCCATTTCTCGACGAAAACAGAAAACAGAAAATTAGGGATTTAAGACACTTGACCTTTCAGGTCAGTGTAATAATAATTTTATGGTAAATAATTATCATAATGAATTTGTCTTGTGTTTTTCAGACATTGACGAATGTACACTCGGTACTCATGACTGTCATGCTAATCCAATTGAAGCAACATGTACAAACACCATTGGATCATTCACGTGCGCGTGTAATACTGGTTACACTGGGGACGGTAAAACGTGTACAGGTTTGTACGAGAGTGATTGTTTTTGTGTTCGCAATATCTTCCAAATTAGTTAAATAGTTTCATTTTCCAAGAAAATTGAATGATTTCCAGGATACAGATGCCCAATCTCGTACCCAGAGTATGCCCGTTCGCAGGTTAGGTGCTGGGCATGACTCTGGAGAAACGGAATGAAATGATCAATTCCATTGGCTGGCGTGAGATCAATGACACCGATACCGGAAATTGGTGTTCAAGTGCAGGAATTACACGTGGAAATTGCCGAATACGACGTAAACAAAGTCGAAATTACATTTATTTGCAAGATTTCAAATACAAGTTAAATGTTACATTAATTCTGATTGAGGATTTACCTACGATCTGTACACTTTTGTATCTTGTATTAT